ACAAGTGTGGAGGACGATGTTTCGAAAGTCTTCCACCTGAAGACTTTCGAAACATCGTTTTCTACACTTGTGTTTCTACAACAGGTAATTGCCGTCCATTCAACAAAGTTTCATCATGAATACTTTGCCTAAACAATCTATCAAAGTACTATATTGTTGTAATTTTAAAATTTTCTTACTTTTATTTCATCTAAATAGGACAGAATGCTTCCATTGTAGCACTTATTTTGCATTTTTTAAAGATTATAGTACAATGGAAAAGTTTTTGTTTGTTTGTTTGTTTGTGCAAAGCTACACAATGGACTATATATGTTTTGCCGACCAGGATATCGAAACTCAGTTTTTAACATTAAGACTTGAGACTTACCGCTGTGCCATGGAGGGCAATGAAAAAGAAAAGCATTTTGGAGAAAAAACATAAGAAATCTTATTTAATTGTTGACAAAACTTCGAAGTGCAAAATTTGTACTTTAAGTTTTTTAAATTCGTACTTAAATTTGAAACGGTAAGGTTACAGATAATAAGAACTGTTAATCGTTTTTCCGCCAGATGCCGCTCTTTCAACTGAAGAAACCATTGGGATTATTGTATCCTTGTTAGCCGGTGTAACGGTAGCTCTTGGAATTGCTGCATTCATCCGGTAGGTGTCAACTCTAGCTTTATTCACGTTTGTTAGCTATATCTAGTTATTGAGTTATTGTTTGATATGTTTATTTATATATATCTGTTTAAATGACAGATTTTTTATCTAAAAGTAGGTTTAAAAAAATCATTATTCTTATTGACAGGTACTACTGTCCCGTATTTTAAAATTAATGTTTTTAAAAGTATATAAAATGGTTTATAGAAGCTGAAAAAATATTAAGTCTTATGAGAGTGAGTAGTTAGGTTTCCATACCTTCATAATTTTCAGTAACAATCTACCTTAGTTTGTTAGAATAGACGGTAGTGACAAGCAAAAGTACTTCACAGAATGAAATGGTCATATTTAAAGGTATGCCATAGTAAAAATAGAAACTACTAGCACTGTTTGTATCAGATATTCGCACAAAACCAGACAAGCGTTATCTTCACTAGCTGTCCCTAATTTTGAGCTGATACGCTAAATAACCTTTTCTTTAGTCAATGCTACTCACTGTCAGTTCCTAAATAATGAATAATGTGGTTTGACCGTCACTCTTATAACGCACTCACGCCCCGAAAATCCAAAGCACGACTTTTTGAATGATGGGACACAAACCATAGATTCTCAGATGCACAACCAGGTTCACTGAGAACTAGGCCACACCAGGCCTTTGGGATTCTTAATTTTCAAATTCAAATTTGTTTTAATTTATAATCGAGTACAGTTAGCAATTCCTACAGATCCCATAATACTATTATTTAAGCGGAAGATGTAAGTACTATCCTTGAAAAATATGGTCTTATGAACTTTAAATATCTGGAAAGGATGGCTACACATTGATTCATCATGTAGTGAGGCCCCCTTTCATTTGATGAATGTTCTGACTCTGAACAACAGAAATTTCTGGAGTATTATTTGTGGCAGCCAGTCACTAGTTGAATCTCCTACCATATGGCAGAAATAGCTTTAACTGGTGACTGGCTGCCACTAATAATACTCCAGAAATTTCTATAATAGCAACTGAATGACAGAGAACTAGCATGAGCATTCCTTGTCACGCACCAAGGTGAAGCTTGGCTATCAAAGATTAAGACACAAGGCACAGATAACAAAACCTATGGAACTTATAAGAGCAGGTACAAATGAAGAAAGGCATGCTGCATGATTGTTATATATCTGCTCCAAACATTAATATTTAAAAATCTACACTGAGTGGTCACAAGTAAATAGACACCTAAT